GTACCCCCGCTTCCTTTTTGGCTTTCTCACAAACTGTCCAATTAAAACAGCAGTATATCAGAGTAGTCGACCACCTCATCCATGTATTGGAGTCATGGGCCCCAGCGCAAGGCCTCCAGCCTATCGTCCAAGAATACATCGCCTGGTGGCATTGCAGGACATGACTTATCATGACTCAAAACTGTCAGTCACTCAGTTATATATGTGTTGCATGGTTTACTTTTTTAAATGCACGAATACTTCCTTTTAAAACCTGCCATTGAAATAGTTTTAGTTTAGCCGTGATGAGCTCATTGTTTTACACATATAATCACAGTTCTATTATGTTAATACACAAATCTTTAATCTAGCAGGGCCAGCAGGAAAGCTGCAAATGTGTGATTGCACCATACTGGCAAATATGAGAAAACATGCTTAGCTTTTGGCCACTTATAGGTGACTTTAAATTGCAAATCAGACACAATACTGCAAACCAAGTATATTACAGCAACCATGTTTGGCCACCCATAATATAGTTGGCATAACAAAGATAGGAAATACACTTTAATGCAGTGCCTTGCAAGGCCTGAAATGTTCCAAATTGGACAATATTGGAAAATATTAAATTACATAAAATAAAAAGACAAGACATACTTGCTTTTACACATACACATTTTAGAAAGCTTAAAAAAATATGGGGGACCTAAGATGTACCCAAATGCCTTAAAAAAAAAAAAATGTATATATATGGCATGTTTGGACAGAGATCTCAAAACAGGATTGTAGATGGATGACAAGCTGTGTCTTAGTCCACCACCCCTATTTAGTGAGGGGTGTTTTATTTTTACAAAAATAGCTTCCTGGACTCCTCTCTCAAACCAGCAATGTTCTCTGGAGAGGATCTGGACTTCACTGTCCTCAAAAGAATGTCCTTTGTCCTTCAGGTGGAGGTGGACTGCTGACTCAGTAGCTATAACGAATCAGTCGTTAGAGGACATTGTTGGCCATCAGAGAACTGAAACACCACCGATGGGGATAAATATCTCCAGCTCAACGCCAGTCGGGCAGAACTGATGAAGCCTCTTGGATGAGAGGTGAAACGTCTTCGACCTAAAACCAAGGCCAGTTGATTTTTTTTTTCTATGTTTTTTCAGTTTACTATGACCTGGATGACTGAGAATCTGCATGGACATCTAAAGACAGATTCCAGATACAGTACTTTGCCTCATTGTGATCTATCTATAGTGTCATCAGTCTGGATAATTACCTATGAGTTAAGTGGTACAACAAGGACATCAGATGTATTTCAAATGTGTCTTACTTTATGCAACATTATCCCTGTGTTTGCCTAATCATTTCAGTGTGTGTTGAGGTTATTTTCCTTCTTTGTGTGTTGTGAAATAGTGTGTCAGAAGAAAAGAGGAAGTTAAGTAACTGTGTTCATATGAACTGTGCTAATTTAATAAGGTCATTCAGTGTCTAATTCTGTGTCTTGTTGGGTGATTGGAGGGAAGGCTCAACCTGGGCGACTACACAATGATCGATTAAAAACTTGTATCAATAAGTGTGCAGTTGTAAACTGTATTTGTAATAACTTGTTTTGTTTTTCTCTAGCTGACAGAGATCACTGATGGTAAGTCTTTCCAGTGACAGATGGATTTGAGACCTTGCAGGGCGTCATTGATTCAGTAAGTATTTCAGTTCTGCCTATAAATATGTTCAGATACACAGGAAATTGCAAAATGGATTTAAAGCACATTAAGTTAGCCAGGTACAGAATTCCAGGAAAACCCGCCGTGTTTGTGACTTTCTTGCTTTGATCAGTGTGGCCAAACATGATCAGAGTGCATGCTGTCCAGTATTTCATAAGACCCACCTCAGTGGCGCTGACTTAAATTTGTTTTATCCACTTGCCTGAAAAATTAAAAACAGTTTGTTATGAAGGGACTATTATCACTGGGACCTGAGGTTTGTCTAGCAGAGGTGTGACTGTCTGGCATCTGACTGTCATCTGGAGCAGATTAACAGCAAACTGACAGCTGCTGTTTCTTAGCCATGTGAATGGGTCAGGAATTAGGCTTCCTCGGCTTCAGGTTTGTAACTGGCTATGTTCTTGGAGCGAAGTGATTAAAGACACCTTGGCAGAACACAAATGAGAATAAATGGAAACCTGAAGTTCAAAGTCCCCAGTGGCAAAAATGTTAATTAATAGATGTATTAAAGCTATTGCTGAAATCGGTCATTCAATTAGTGTTTGAGTGCCGCAGTCCAAAAGAAACAGACAGTGGACCAAATTACTGACTAAAATAGTATCCTTAATGCATACCCCACACAGTGTCTTTACAGGTTCACAATGTAGTGTCACTATATCACACATCATGTCCTTGTTCGTCAAGGATTATTCAGTCATAATACATAGTTAGTTTAAAGACGTGTCAGCAAGGGGTGTGTGGTAATGGTTCCAGAGGAACATCAGCACTATTCCACATGCCGACTATTCAAAATCTTCCTGACTTAGTAACCACAGTAAGGAGGCATTAGTGGGTTCTGAGAGTGTTCCATATTAGCATGATGAGGAGTTTCAATGTTACTTTGTACCAAAAGAATAAAAAACAGCCCGATCCTAAAGTTATTTTCTGTTGCTGAGATGATATTTCTGCTTTTATTCTCCTCATACAGAGTCCTTCCAGGTAGTGGTGAGAGGCAACAGTTTCCTCCATGCCCGACATGCTGATGAAGTCCTGTGCAGCTTCAGAATCTACAATGCCCTCACGAAAGGTGAGTGAAACATCACTGAACAATAGTGAAGACAACACGGTCTCCCCGATTCACTACATTTTCTGTTTTTGAATGCCTGACTGTTCAAGGCTGATCACTCAGTTCCTTTGCAATAAGAACAGCTGGAATGAACTGTTAAGGAAGCCAGCTATTGTAAAATTCATTAGAATTATCAAGTAGCTGAGCTTTCCAAAAGTCATACACCACATTAGCCACACAGCTGGAATCCTCTTTAAATAGCATTGCATAATTTTACAGCCTGTAGGAGAGCCAGAAATAAGACAAAGGAGTAACTACCACACATGAAGCAGGGGGAAGGAAAAAGCCTCAGGTTTACTGTACGAGTTGTGAAAACCATTTCCTACACAGTACCCACTGGAAGTGATGGTTTAATTAAACAAATAAAATGTCTGCTCTTTTGATGTGGAAGCGATGAACAGATGCTTCTTTATTAATGTGATGAGTACTCATGGTAGTGCAGCCTCATGTTTCAATCAGTCAAATCAGAATATATTACTTGACCATACCTTATACCACACCATACTTATTATATCTGTAAAATTATTTGTCAGTTGTATTTGTTTCCATCCAAGTGGTCTGTTTTGATGTTGGAGAAAGGATATTACATCTTTTCTGCTCTGTTCTGTTTATTTTTTAACATCAGTCATACAGTATACTGCTCCTGCATATAGCCTATGTTGGCACATGGGTACTTTGGTGATGCCACAGTCATGCAGTAATTCTTTAAAAAATGACTTCTCAGTATTAATGACATATAAACAATTCCTTGGGATTATTTTTCTTTCTGTGTGACACAACACTCAACTTCTAAGCAGGTTACTTGGAAACAATATGAGTCATGCTCTTCTTCTGTCACTCCTACAGTATTATATGTGCATACTCACCCTTGAGATTCCTTCACTTCTCTAGAATGTTTACACACATATTCTCTGGAACTTGTTAACTCCACTGGTAAACTAAAAAAAACAACATGATTAAACCATGGCTGGCTTACTGGATACCTGCCCTTGCTGACTCCTCACACCAGCTCTTTTATATACTTTGCAATATGTACTTCCTGACAGAAAGACCACAGGTGGTCAGAATGGGAGGGCGGGTGTCTGCTGAGCTCACAATCAGCACAGGCTCACCACAGGGCTGCTGTCTTAGCCCCAAACTCTTCACCCTGTACACCCACGACTGTGTCTCCAACCATGACAACATCATCATCCTGTGCCTCATCAAGGGGGGAGACGAGTCGGGTTACAGAAGCTTGGTGAATGACATCCTTGTTTATGGAGAGGAGAATGACCTCATCCTCAATATAAACAAGACAACAGAAATAACAGTAGATGTCAGGAAGAACCCCTTCCCTCTGCTACCTCTGACCATCAAAGGGACGGAGGTGGAGAGGGCTGAGGGCCACAAGTTCCTGGGCCTGCAGGTGACATCTGCTGGCACAGTGGTTGTTGTACAGCCTTGCAGAGGTGAAGCTCACTCACTATGTGTGCACACTGAGTTTTGTGGTACTGTGGAATTTACTTAAATAAAGCTGACATCTAACTTCATTTGACATGTCTGTTGTTTTTCTTCCTTGCCTTATAAAGTACCTTAAATGAAATGTTGACTACCTAAGTAATCTTTTTTCCCAGAATTTGAAATGGATTTATAATTATTGATCTCAAATGACACACTGGACAGAGCAAATATTTACAGGGTTCAATGATGCTGTGGATGTAATGAATGTCATTACAATATAATGTAATATATATGTTTTTTTATTGTACTTGGTGTACCCTGGGTGTGCTTGTGTGACCTAGGCATTTTTATTCAATACATAGTTTCAGTAGGTGTTTTTTAGTCGATGGCTCCATAGCTAGGCAATCCAAAGAGTACTGACAGGGGGTAAGACACAGAGCATTGTTTCATCCATCATAAATACATTTGTATGGCACCGATGTTTCAAAGCTCCGCCTATCGAACTACTCTCAGGCCACGAGAAGAAAATTATCTGATGAAACAAAGACTTAACTATTTGGCCACAATTCCCAACAGCGTGTGGAGAAAACCAGGCACTGAGCATCATCTCACCAATACCAACCCTACAGTCTAACATGGCCGTGGCACCACTGTGCTGTGGGGATGTTCTTCCACATCTGGGACTAGGAGACTAGTCAGGACAGAGGGAAGGATGCATGTAGAAAAATATGGAGTCATCCCGAATGAAAACCAACTTTCTCCAGAAACTCTCATGGCTGAGTAACAACTCTGTCGACAGAGGGACGCCCATGTCCCCTAAGCAACGGCCTGATTAATGCAAACACAGTGTTACTATGGAGGCCGAGACACAATCACTTCATGCACTCACCGGGACTGACCCGGGACAGCAGCGCACCCCACGGACATGGACTACTCACCTGCTGAGGACAAAAGATTTGACTTTATAGCGGACCGTCTGCTGAGGTCTCTGAAACTTAAACAGGACAAATGGCAGAAATGCATGTCCAGCGAGGAGAACAGGCAGGTGGTGCAGGAGTTCCTGGACAAACGCGAGCAGAGGACCCTGGTGGTGTCAGTGACCGCGGCCGGACTGCTGCAGCCCGCCGCCGCCTTCACAGGCAGCTCCAAACACAAGGCGGTGTACTTTGTGAAAAAGAAGAGCACAGCGCTCAGCCCAGACTCCATGAGAGCCAACGTGGTGTACGGGGACTTGGCTCACACCCCACTGGAGCACTTTTCTGCTCTGGTTGAGGTAAGCAGCAGGGCAGAATGGGTTAATTATTGTTGGACGCATAGGGTCTGGCTCAGCATTCATTCCTGTCCACAACTACTGAAAGCTGCTCAAATGACATAAATAACCTAACTTCCATTTTGTCAGTAACATGTATCCAGTGCTCAGATGTAGCGTGGTGTTGGCTACATTAGGTAGGGACTTACTAACTTGGAAACAATTTGTGGCGCAAATACCTGCGTCATACTTCGGACAGCTTAACTTTTCACTCCACTACACCTGTTTAACAGCTAGTTAGCAGCAAGCAGATTAGTTTCAGCTTGACCACACACTGTAAATGCTGAGAATGTAACGCTTTATAAAACGAAGTCAGTAATAGAGTAACAGTTACAAAGGGGACATTATCAATTTACACGTAGTCCATTAAATACAATATATGTGGCTGATAAAGGGCCTTCTTAAGTAAGACTGATGGACACTGGGGCTTTCACTTATCATAGAGTATTTTACATTGTGGTGTTACCGCTTTCACCCAAGTCATTTCTTTCACCAATAGATATGGTAACTTTTAACTTAAATCTGATTATTTTTACCCTTTCTTCCATTTAGCTCGGTTAAGCACATATTTATCACGAGTCTTTATTATTTATTTAAAAATGCACCATTACGTGTAAACCCCGATTTCTTGATGGGGTGGTTTGCTCCAGTTACTTTGGATTGTGGGTAATAAGCGCTTTACAGTTTATCTTCGAAGGAACTGCTTTAATTAACTCTAAGACCGCAAAACAACAACAACAACAACAACAAAACAACAACAACAACAACAACAAAACAAACAGAAAAAACCACCAGGCTTCAGTCTCTCAGGCTTTTCCACTGGACTCTGCTCCTGCTCCATTTGTTACTGTTATACTAAGAAAAGACCCTCCTAAAACAACGGTGCAGTGTTAAAGCATGGAGGGCCTTTAGGGCTTGGCTGGAGAAATACATTGACCTGTATTTGAATATAAGAAAAGTACCAGTGCCAACTTTAGATATGCACTTAAATTTATTCAAAGAAATGAAAACGCAATGAGATCTGTTTCACTTGCCAGAGCATTGCAAAAGAATAACCTGAATGAATTCTGGAAAGAAGGCAGGGCTATGAATAATCCCAAAACATTTACTGTCAAATATTGATGGAGTAAATGCCTCTGACAATATTGCTCAGTTATGGCAGAATCTGTATTATGATCTTTTCACTGTGTTAAAAGTACCAAACTGAGGTGGATAAAATGGATGAAGAAAGTGTGGTGATTATTACATAAGTTGACGATAGAGCCATTATGAAGTTAGGTG